ACTCCAAGAACTTAAATTTCAATAGTATTGATATTTAACTGCTCAAGAAAAGAGTGAACTTTTGGATTATAATGTGAGAATTCAGCACTCATCAGCTTACAGCCATCCAGCACAAAATAACTAAGAGTGCTGTGGGTTTTCTGAGCTGTAAGTTGCACTAAGCAAAGACCGTCCACCAGGCTCTCAATACACAACCGATGAAGGTGCATGACCACAAAAGAGTCTGCTTTGGATTAGCAGCACCTCTGCTTGCACACTATTCGCGCACACAACTTTCATCCCAGAGCAGGAGGAACAGACAAACATTATACAGATCAAACAGCAACTAGTCTAGGCATGTGCAGAAGGTGAGGGCAAAGAACTGCAATACCGTTGTATTTGTTCTTTTCCCCAAGCCTAAAATTCGGAAAACAAAATGCATAAAACACTTCACTGGAGTAAAAACAGTAAAAAGCCCAAATATAAAATAAGTTTGGAAAATCACAGATAAAATCTTGCTGGACCATCTTCAGATTCTGGTCAGGAGATTGTGCTGTGAAACAGAGAACCAAGGCCCAGGATGCAGATAACAGCTTGTGCTTCCATGTCTGTGGGCACGTTAGGAAAATGACCCGTGGCATTCCATTCTGAACACGGGTGGTTATGCATAAGGCCAAGCAGTTACAGAGGAGGCAATGAGGGGGACTCCTAGGCTCCACAAACCTCCTCTTTTACCTTTTCTCCTCAGCAGAAATCTGCAAGCCTACAGAACATAAAGGGTCCCTAAGAGATTCTATCCAATACCAGCAATTTAAGATTGAAAGATCAATCGTCTAGGACTCACCATTTCTTTGTTCTCCTTTCTGCAGGGCTCAGGGAATGTCTTCAATAATCTCAAGATAGCACTTCCGGAAGAGTGTTCTGACTATGAGAAGAACACAAGGTAATCTGGAGTCAGATGAATAATGTTCAGTCCACAAGCCCTTCACAGTGGCTGAAATCCTTGCTTGGAATTGCAAGAAAGGGACGATGGTCACTTGCAGTCCTCAGTCGCCTGTATGGCACTAGCTCTCCTTGTCACACACCTGAGATCTGAAAGAGACAACGTGGAGGAAATAAATGTTCAGTAAGCCAAGACAAGGGTGTATTGTTACCTTCATTCACACGCCTAAGCCTTTAAAGAGAACTGAAGCTACGCCTACAGTTTAGTCTTGAGAAAAGTGGGGTGCTTGTGTATGTTCAGCAACTGTGAAAAGAAAATACAGGGAATATCCTCTTGTTTACGGTACAGCCTGGGAAACAGGGTCACTCTGCTCCAAGACTGGACAATGAGTTTGTGAGCCTTCCAGTGTCCAGGCTCAGAGAAATGCTCTGTATGAGACTGCTTGACTTACAAAGGGAAAACAGGCCTAAGCCTCCAAGAACTCTACCGTTTTATGCACTCGGAGGGGTGGATACCTTCTACCAACAAACTGACAGGTGGAGACATTCACTCATCCCAGAGCAGAGAGGAAAGCAGGCCTCACCAGGAAGGAAAACACGGACCTGATTTACTCTCATTCCCTTCTGAGCAGTAATGATGTCTGGCTGAAATTTTCACCAAGACTGTGGGAAGAGACAGAACGTTCATCCCCAACTGCTCTGAAATAACATGTGATTCTGCACAACACTGTAAAAGTGGGAGATGAGGGGTGTACAGAGACGACAAACTCCATGTGCGATCTCTGGTGGACTGGATATTGGGGACTGAAGGAAGGACAATTTCCCCCCCCTAAAGACTCGCTCTTTTCAACAGGTCCAAAAATCTCCATACAATAGGAAGAAGATGGGAGGACTTGAGGTGAGACAGGCAGTCATTTCTGATAATGTAACAGAAAAACGTGGAAACAAATAACAAGTATGGTTACACAATGTGGTTGCAAAAAAGAGGTTAGAGTAGGAAAAGATTTAATTTGGTTAGCAAGCCTAAAAAGTAAGGTTAACAAGAGAGGCACTTGAAATGAAATTTTGTTAAAAATTGCAAAAATGGTTAACAAAAAAGGAAGTGAACTGAGACAGGTGAGATATACACAGGAAACTGGAGAATGCAAAGATTTCACATCAAACGAAGGCTTTCTTAACAGATCAAAGATTTTTACAAGGCACTATGTAATCGATAAATGGCAAAGTGACTGCATCATCTCAGTACTGAGAAAAGGAAAACAGACCTATTTAAATTAGACTGATAACTGGTAATCTTCCACTGAATAATGTTGTTGTTATGTGCCATCGAGTCACCTGTGATTCATAGCGACCCTGTGTACAACAGCCCTAAACCCTGCTCCATCCTGTGCCAATCTCACTGTCTCTGACACACCTACCGCCAAGACCCTAGTCACTGAATCAATCCACCTCATAGAGGATCTTCTCCTCCTGCGCTGTCCCTCCACCCTCCCAAGCATGATATCCCTCTCCAAGGACCTGTCTCTCCTCACAACATGTCCAAAATATGTCAGACGAAGCCCCAGAATCCTTGCCTCCAAGGAGCAGCCTGGTTTAACCCTCTCTAGGATGAATCTGTTTTCTTGGCAGTCCATGGTATTCTCAAAACTCTTTTCCAGCACCACAGCACAAAGGCGTCATTTCTCCTTTGTCCAGCTCTCTGACTTTTGCAAGGCAAAGTGATTTCATCACCTTCTTATAAAGGTAAACCAAAGAGGCCTATTTCGTAACAACAAATAATTCTAAAGACCTTTCAGCTAATAATATCAATCTTTTGACACTCTCCTTGATTGCTGCAAAAATCCAGGATGAATGATCCTGGAAGCTCCTTTAGAATTTGCAATTATTTCCTTTTTCTGTCCATTTTGTTCCCTTTACCAACAATCTGTCCCAATACTAAATCATTGATGAGATGAATGTCTATGTTATCAGAGGCCTTTGACCTTCAAGGAAGAGACCATTTGGTGAGAAAAAGTGAACTTTCTCTCCAGCATCTAATTCAGCACCGATCAAAGCTGGGTTTGTCATCTCAGTACAGGATTCAGGGCCTCAATGAACACTTTCAACAACCAGAACTGGTCACACTATTTCTTCAGTCCTCAAAATGTCTACCTGACAGTGAAACTGTTCATAAAAGCAGTATAAATATTTTTCTTCCAATCGTGAAATAAACATGGTTTAAAACACACCTACTACTTCCAATTCTGTTGTACATAGGGTTTTCAGAGGCCTGCTATTTCAGAAGTGGATGGCCAGTCCTTCTTCCTAGTCTGTCTCAAGGTGAATGTTCAGATTTAGAGAAGTATTAGACAGACCAGCAAGTTAAAGGTATATCCCTTATTGCGGAGTTAACTTTAGTTATGTGCCAGAATCATCAAAGAAGGGCAGATATCAACAATCTGCGTTATGCGGATGACACAACCCTGCTTGCTGAAACTGAGGAGGACCTGAAGCGCCTGCTGCAGAGTGTCAAGGACTGCAGCCTACAATATGGATTGAAGCTCAATGTCAAGAAGACAAAGATTCTCACCACTGGACCAATTGGCAGCATCAGGATGGATGGTGAAGAGATTGAGATTGTACACAGCTTTAGTTTGCTTGGCTCCACAGTCAACAGTCTTGGCAGCAGCAGCCAGGAAGTTAAAAGGCGCATTGCCACGGGAAAGTCTGCTGTTAGGGACCTCTCCAAAGTGCTGAAGAGCAATGGTGTCTCTCTGGAGACTAAGGTGCGTCTGATACAGGCCATGGTCTTCGCAATCACTTGTTATGCATCAGAGAGTTGGACAATAACCAAGGAGGATAGAAGGAGAATTGATGCCTTTGAGCTGTGGTGCTGGAGAAGAGTATTGAGAATACCATGGACTGCTAGGAAAACAAACAGATTTGTCCTGGAAAGGGTTAAACCGGGTGGCTCCTTGGAGGCAAGGATTCTGAGGCTCCGTCTAACATACTTTGGACATGTTGTGAGGAGAGACCGGTCCTTGGAGAGGGACATCATGCTTGGGAGGGTGGAGGGACAGCGCAGGAGAGGAAGGCCCTCTATGAGGTGGATTGATTCAGTGACTGGGATAATTGGGATGGGAGTGTCAGAGACGGTGCGATTGGCACAGGACAGAGCAGAGTTTAGGGCTGTTGTACATAGGGTCACTATGAGTCACAGGCGACTTGACGGCACATAACAACAACACCACTTCCAATTCAAGTGTCTCAATTTTACATCTGATTTAAGTACAGAATCGTCAAAGAAGGGCAGATACATTCCCCACCATAACCTTCATTTTTTTAAATTAAACTCTCAAACATGATGACACTTCCCTGATGAAGCAGAGAAATCTGAGTGGAGGGATTATAACAACATAACAGGATCTTTCAAATAGTGAAACCTACTGGATATTAGCTTTAGAAAAATATCATTTCTGGAAGGCAATGACTTTTGTAAAAGAAAATGCTCCTGGAACTGTCTCCCTCCATGTCACCCCGTGGTGACCCCCAGCTAGCGCGGGGTGTGAAGTCCTGAGCACAGGGTCCAGCCCTCCCGCCCTCGCTCCGTCCACCCACGATTACTCCACGGCCTGGACACACACAGAGCCTGGGTGGCTGGTGGGTTGCAGACAGCAGAGAGCTGAGGAGACTGGACAAGGAGAAAGACGACTGACCACCGCCCGCCCCCCCCGAGTCCTCCATGCACACTCACCTCCCGATCGCCCGGGGACTGACCACCACCCTGGTCCCCCGCGCACACACACCTCCCGACCCCCCGGGGACTGACCACCACCCTGGTCCTCCGCGCACACTCACCTCCCGGGGACTGACCACCACCCTGATCGTCCGCGCACACTCACCTCCAGACTCCCCGGGGACTGACCATCACCCTGGTCCTCCGCGCACACTCACCTCCTGACCCCCGGGGACTGACCACCACCCTGGTCCTCCGCGCACACTCACCTCCCGGGGACTGACCACCACCCTGATCCTCCGCGCACTCTCACCTCCCGACCCCCGGGGACTGACCACCACCCTGGTCCCCCGCGCACACTCACCTCTTGGCCTGGGGGACGCAGGCAGGGCCGCTCTGCCCACTGGGCAGCAATGGCGGAAAAGGGGCGGCGGCTCGCCGAGAGGAAAGGCAGGCCCGGGGGGCTCCGGGACCCGCCGGACACGATCAGACGGCGGGAGCGGCCCCCTCGGACTCGGGAGGGGAACTAGCGGCCACCCGCTCGGCTTAATGTGACGGTAAAAAAAGAAAACTCGCGTCACAATAGCTTATATGCAAACGTGGCGGCAACAGGCACTTGAAAAAGTCCGACTTCCGGTGCCTGAGCAGATGAGTGTTACAGAAAAATACCTCCGGGCGGAAACAGAGACTGACGTCTTGTTTTCCCGAAGGTTCCTATTTCCTGTGTGGCGGCTCGCAGGGATTGGAAGTCTCAGGCCCAAAAGTGACCATGGGAGAGTGGGAACAGGACACTCGCACTCAGGACAGGACCCTCCGTGTCACTTTCTATGGGTCATGTCAAATGACAAAAGGAGAAAGCCTCCTTCATTGGATTTGCAGCCAGAGACATCCTTGAGGTCATTAGCTTCCATGGCATATATAGGGGGGTAGGGGTGGTGTGGAGATGAATTCCTTATCTGCTCACCACACAGGCACTTTTCATCTTCACCCTCTGAGAAGTCACATTATTTTGTTTTTAAATTGAACTTAACAACTGAGAATCATGATTAGGTTATGGGGAACCCTAAGGCTAAATTCAACCTTTACGAGCAATGATGTCACTCTGGAGACTAAGGTGCGCCTGATCCAGGCCATAGTCTTAGCAATGGCTGGCTATGCATCAAAGAACAGGACAATGACTAGGGATGACAGAAAGAGAAAAGATTCCCCTTGAGCTCTGGTGCTAGAGAAGAGTTTTGAATATACCATGGACTGTCGGGAGAACAGTTTTCTCCTGGGGAAGGCGAAGCCATGCTGTCCATTGGAGGCTAGGATTTTGAGGCTTCCTTTGTTTAACAAACTTTGAACATGTTGCAAGGATGGACCAGTCTTTAGAGAAGGACATGATGCTTTAAACGGTGGACAGGTGGAGAAAGAGAGGGAGACCCTTGATGAGATGGATCAATACAGTGACTGAGGTTAACTAGGGTAGGTGTGTCAGAGACAGAACAGTTGGCACAGGATAGAGCCGTTTTCAAGGCTGTTGTACATAAGATCGATTCCCAAGAAATTCCATGTCACATGACAACAAAAAGAAATCAAAAGCCTGGGTAAAAAAACAAAAACGAAAATAAAAAACACAACACTACATTAAAACATTTACACCACTCAGGGGGCTCTGGTGGCCTAGAGGCAAGAAGCTGCACTGTAATACCCAAGGTTCACGGTTCAAATGCACTAGATGATCTGCTGGAGAAGGAGGGACAATCGCCTCCTCTATCAGTCAGATCCGATTTGACAGCGCGCGCGCGCGCGCGCACACACACACACACACACACACACACACATTAAAATAAAAACAACAGACATTTATACAACTCTTTTACACTTTCCACAGAAGAGAAATGAGAATGCCTTGTTACATTGTTTTACTTGTTGTTTATGGTGGAGTCAGAACCGACCCATAGCTGACCCTCCAGCAGGTTTTCATGCACAGAAGATTGCATACATTTCTCCTGTGGAGCAGCCGGTTGCTTTGAACCTTGTGCCTTTGAGACCACAGAGCAGCTTCTTGCTATTAGGCCACCAGAGCCTAATGACTATTAGTCACAAATTTAATTCTTGTGGATTTGTTTTTATTTTTGTTTTGTTTTCCATATATAGGAGTCTTGCCTAAAACATGTCTTTTTGACTGTAGCACCTAGGCCTTGGCACCAGAGCCACTTTGGATTCATGGTGTGGAAAACGCTAATCTCGACCCACCGTAAGTGCTAGAGCTTCTGCCTCCAAAGTTTCCTTAACATTAATAATAATAATAAAAAAACAGTAATAAAAAGGTTAAGCAGTTAAGTGTTCAGATGAAAACTCTGTGCGATCAAACACGAACCCATCCCTAGATGACCATCCGTCAGGAATTCAAGGGTAAGAAATGGGAATGTCACACTTTTCAATGGAAGCCCCAACCGGTTTTCAGTCAGTGCTATCCTTCAGGGGAGAGAGGTGTCTGAAATGTAATAGGTAGGAAAATAGGAAATTTTTAGCCAATAGAGACTTTGAAGATGGAATGAGTTTGTCAATACTATGTTTTTTTGAGAATTCCCAAGACAATCATGGATATTGGACATGCTGTGCACAGCTGCTTTGCTTTGACAGTAAAGTATATAATGTTGTTGTTAAGTGCCATCGAGTCGTAGGTGACTCATAGCAACCCTATGAAGGAGAGTCCTCGATGCTTGGGTGCCTTTCATCCTCTGTCCAGGTTCATAGGGTTTCCAAAGGCAAGCTATTATGGAAGTGGACGCCACTCCTCCTTCCACGCTTGTTGAATCGGGGAGCTCCGCCCCACTCTCAGTTCACATTTGACACATCCGTGTCACAGTGTTCAGCCTCACAGCAACCACAAGTGACCACGGTAGGTACGGCAACTTGTCCACCAGGGCTATACGACCTAGAGGAATGTCTGAACAAAAACAATGAAAGACTGGCCAGAGGGCCGCAAACTGAAGTCACCCACCTTTGGCTTGAGCACATCGTTTTCTCTTCACTGGGAACAGCTGATCTCGCGTGCGCTCTCTCTCTGTTGATGTTATTGTTGTATAATACAAAGTAGAATATTTACCTCCTCAATAGTGTCACCCTGCAAGAAACTGAAGAGTAACAACAGTCCACTTTCTACAGGCAGACAGTACAAGAATACCATTAATAACACGAAACTTCTTCTACAAATGAGATGTTTTTAATCGCATGAATCATCTCAATTGCAAACATGAGATTTCATAAAAGGAAATTTTCCTAGTTACATTTTTCCAGTTTTATTAGTAAGACTTTGAAACTGTAAAAGACAAATATTTTAACATGAATCTGGCAAACCAGCGGCAATTCCAAAATCCCACATTTAAAAAAAAGAACGCAAAAGATCAATTTAACACAGTGGTGCAAAACGGATGCAGCTTCAACACACAATGAAGGACTCCCACACACCTGATGAATCTAAAAACCTCTGCGAATATCTCACTCTCCAAGACAGTTCTCCTCTGGGACATGACCAGGAAGACGAATTGTTTCCCGGTTTTCACACTCATCTGTCTTGTTGAGTGACTTCTCAGGTGCCTGATGAAGGCAGAGGAGATACATTCCTCTTTTTCTGCCATTGATGCGGCCTGACTCCAGCGTGAGTGTCAACATATCCAGTGAGGAACTAGTCACCTGTGTCTTCCATTGCGGACATTTGATAAGAGCTTTCCGCTGTTGTGAATCCAGGCCTGTCCTGAGGGCTTTTCATTGGAAAAAGGCCGCCCCACGTTCTTTCCCTTCAGATGGTCTATCTTAGGTGAACTCGTCATGGATAACTCACGCACCAGAGTCACAAACGCTTTCTCTCCTCTGTTTTCTTTCCTAAGTTCTCTCTACTCTACGAATTCTTGTATATTTAATGAGGGGACCTCACTGTGCAAATGCTTTTCCATATGTCTTACATTCAAAAGTTTTCTCTCCTGTGTGAACACTGTCACGTGCAGGGAGGTCAGAAGATCACAGAAATGCTTTCCCACATGACTAAAATTCATAAGGTTTCTCGCCTGGGTGAATTCTTGCGTGCTTATTCGGTGCAGCAGACAAGGAAACCTTTTCACCAAGTCCTAACCTTCACAAGGTCTCTCTGTGTGGCTTCTTCTCGGTGATGTACAGGAATGTGATTCACTGAAGGCCTAACCACATTCCTTACCTTGATAAAAAGTTTCTCTTCTGTGTGGGTCCTTCTCTGTTCAGTGAGTTCCCCTGATGGCAGAACTGTTTTCCACATTCCTTACCATCACAAGGTCTATCTCCCGGGTCTATTTTTCTATGTGCACTGAAGTCACCTGGGTGTACAAATGTTTTCCTATATTCCTTACATCCTTAAGGGCTCTCGCCTGTTTGAATTCTTGCATGTATATTTAGATTATTGGGTGAGAGAATTTTTCCTACAGTCCTTACTGACATCACGTCTCTGTCTCGTGTGAATTCTTCTATGTCACGTGTGGGTTTGTGATTCTCTGAATGTTTCCCAACAATGCTTACACTCCTAAGGTCTCTTGCCTGTGTGAATTTTTTCTATGTGCAATCACACCACTTGAGGGTTTCAAGGTTGCCACACATTCCTGACGTTCACAAGGTCTCTCTCCAGTGGGAATTCTCTCCCATGCACAGAGGGTGTTGGCGGCATGAAAGCTTTCACCATGTTTCACATTCATAGGTTTCTCTCCTGTGTGAATTCTTCCTCGAAAAATGAGAGGACTTGATTGTGTAAAGGTTTTCCTGTATTCTTTAGATGCGTACGGTCTCTCTGCTGTGGGAATTCTCTCTTGTCTGTAGAAACGGGCACGTCATTAAAGGTTTCCCCACAATCCTTGCATTCATAAGGTGTCTCTGCGCTGTGAGTTTTCCCATGTGCGGCAAGCTGACAGGATCGCAGGAATGTTTTCCCACATGCCTTGCATTTGTAAGGTCTCTCTCCTGTGTGAATTCGTCTATGAACAAGGAGAGTACTTGAGTGTTTAAAGGTTTTCCCGCATTCCTGACATTCATAAGGTCTCTCTCCTGTGTGAATTCTCCTATGAGATATGAGACTACTTGATTCCGTAAAGGTTTTCCCGCACTCCTGACATTCGTAAGGTTTCTCTCCTGTGTGGATTTTCTTATGTCTACGGAGATGAGGCCTGTCGTTGAAGGTTTTCCCGCATTCCTTGCATTCGTAGGGTCTCTCTCCCGTGTGGATGACTCTGTGTCTACGTTGGGCAGACATGTCGTAAAAGGCTTTTCCACACACCTCACACCCATACGGCCTCTCTCCTGTGTGCGTTCTCGTATGGATACGCAAATACACTACCCGTGAAAATGTCTTCCCGCACTGCTCACACTCAAAAGGTCTCTCTCCTGTGTGAATTCTTCCGTGAGAAATGAGACTACTTGCACCTGTAAAGGTTTTCCCGCACTCCTGACATGCATAAGGTTTCTCTCCTGTGTGGATTCTCTTGTGTCTGTGGAGATGGTACATGTCGTTAAAGGTTTTCCCGCATTCCTTGCATTGGAAAGGTCTCTCTCCGGTGTGAATTAGCCGATGTCTCCGTAGGGTCGACGCGTCATAAAAGGCTTTGCCACATTCCTGGCATTCATAGGGCCGCTCTTCCGTGTGCTTTCTTGTGTGTATCTGCAAATGACCGAATTGTGAAAATGTTTTCCCACACTCCTTGCATTCATAAGGCCTCTCTCCTGTGTGAATTCTTCCATGGGAACTGAGCTCTCGTGATCGAAGAAATGTCTTCCCACACTCCTTGCACTCATAGGGCTTCTGTCCTGTGTGAATCATTTCATGAGCGGTGAGGTTACAGGACCGCAGAAATGTCTTTCCACATGTCTCACAGCTGTACGGTTTCTCTCCTGTGTGGATCGATGTGTGTCTAAGGAGTGTCCACGGGTCGTAAAAGCCTTTTCCACATTTCTCGCACGCATAGGGCCTCTCCCCTCTGTGCTTTCTTAAATGGACCTTGAAATGATCTGATCGGGAAAATGTTTTCCCGCACTCCTGACATTCATACAGTCTCTCTGCTGTGTGAGTTCTCCTGTGTTCCGTGAGGTCAGGGAATCGCAGAAATGTTTCCCCACAGAGCTCACATGCATAAAGAGTGTTAGTGCCATGAACGGGTTTCTCCCTGTCCCGGCATTCAGGAGGGCTCGCTCCTGTGGGAATTCTTTCGTGTAGAGGGGGTTCCCTTGGTTGCAGAAATGGTGCCTCACTTTCGTTACATTCGAAAGGTCCCTGTGCAGAGTGACTTTGACTTTGTGCATGTAGAGTTTCATGAGCAAGTTGAGGAAAGGTTTCCCTGCACTGTTTACTTTTATAACTTTTCTCACGTGTATGGGTTCTCGCATGTTTCTTTAGGCCTGAGGAAGAACGGAAGGATCTTCCACAAATCTTACATGGATGAGGCCACTCTACACTGTGAAGCCTTCTCTCTACTGTGACGTTTGATGGACTCGTAAGGGGCGAGGTATAAGGAACGATTTTCCCATTTTCCGTAGATTCACAAAGCTTACGTGGAGAATTAAATGTTTTATGGGAAACTAAAAAGAAAGGATTAATGTAGGTTTCAGAGGTTTCTGTCCATTCATGACAGTCTATGACATGGACCCAAAATAATGAGAAGGTGCAGAAATGTCGCCCACATGTGTGACACTCATAGCTGCTCTCACCAATGCGAGTCCTCAGCGGGTTCACGTCCACACGACTGCTGGCCCAGCAGGGAAGATGTGGAATTCTGAGGAAGGATTTCTCGGGGTGGCTGTCTGCAATCGCTGTACATCGACTCTCTATGACTGGAGTTCTGGAAAACATAGACAACACACCGTTGTAAACAGCTATGTTCCCATTTACCCGTGCTCAAGACCAATGAAGATGTGTAGGCTTTCCTTCAGGGAGGCTGAGATACCGAAATCTCACCAAAATACTGTTCCTGGAATTGGCTTCATAAATCATGAGGCTTTCTGACCGCTGTCTCCAAGTTAATTTGTTTACTACAATGTTGTTTCTCGTGCGTGGAGCCGAAGGAAGACTAGCAAAGCAGAATGTAAATCCAGAAAAGGTTAGGCGTCGCTCAGGCCACTAGCACCGGAGGAACCCCTAAGTCTCTGCTTTTATTAGCATTCAGAAATAAAGGAATAGTTCACAGAGAAATGGAAACATTAAGGAACAGGGCCCCCCAAATGGGCCAGGAACACAGGTACATAAAACACATACATTCAAGCAAGATTTCTTCTTTGTATCAATAAAATGTGCTTTCTCTCATTTTGCAACAACTTTATCAGGAGTAGAAACATTTGTTTCTACTCACAAGAGTCAGTGTCTAAAGATGTGTGGGGACTGCTTGTAATCTTCCTTCTCAGAGCGCCCCATGAGAGCTGCTTGCAATCTTCCTTCTGAGGCCACCTCTGTGTGCAAAGCACACAGCCACATCCCAACGATACAGCCCCCTACAATCTGTACCCCTTACAACTAGGTTTTGTTTTAAAGCTGTATGATACCCACCTCAAACTCTCCTCTTTATTTTGACATAAACCGTCTCTGCCACAGAATTCTGAAATGTTTCCTGAAAGGCAGAGATGGGTCGACTTTAAGGATTCCAACTGTGTACCTTCAGGGGATACTGTTTCTCCAGCATGAACATTTTTAATGCCTGCCAGGAAAAACATGAAACAAAGTTTGAGAGTATCAAACAGAAAGGAAAGGGGAAATACAGGTCAGACTGTGATGAACAAAGATCACTGTAGGCAGTTTTCACTTTCAATCTTTTGACTATGAATAACAAGCCATTCCCTAGGAAGTACTTCTGGGACAAGTTAAAGGAATAATGACATAAATATTTTTCTTGTGGGTGGTGGAAGAGAAAATAGAGATATATAGTATATACATATTATCATGAAGTACACACCTGCTATCAAGCAGAACACATGCAGTATCACACAGAACACATATATAACCACCGGGTCAACACACATAATATCACAGGGTGCACGCAATCACACCACGTACACACTCTTTCACACCACACACACACACACACTATCACGTAGTATAGACACGCTATCACACCACAGACACAACCAAATCAATAAGGACAGACATACTGTCTTACAATAGATATATACCATCACACAACACACAGATACTGTCACAGAATATAGAACGTCACACTGTTCACAAGGAGTATGAAAAAAATTAAAAATGGGTCTCCCTGAAAGAACTTTACAGTTTAAATCCTTCAGATGCTCTGCTGGAGAAGGAGGAAAAAAATCTCTTCCTGTACCAGTCAGATCTGATGGTACACACACACACACACACACAATAATAATAATTTTTTAAAAAAGAACTTTAGGCGAGCTCTGGTGGCCTAGTGGCAAGAAGCTGCACTGCAATCCCAGAGGTGCACGGTTCGAATCTACCAGATGCTCTGCTGGAGAAGGAGGGACAATCTCCTCCTGTACCAGTCAGATCTGATTTGATGGTACACACAAAAAAATAATAAAATTTAAAAAAAAAAAGAACTTTAGACCCAAAATACACCTGCATTGATCTGATAAAATTGTGTCCTCAATCAAAAAGATAATTGTTTTGTGGATGTGTACTGTACACTTGAAACCCAGCGATAGTTGACCCACCAGTGGGTTTTAAGAGGAAGTTAATCACACAGGAGGAGACTGCCCATCCTTGTCCACGGAGCACCTGATGGACATGAGTGTTGTGCCTCGGAGATTGTATGCAGCTTCTGATCTCTGGGCCAACAGAGCTACTTTTTTTCTTTCCTTGGTTCATGTAAATGGAAGACTCTCAATATGTGCCACACCTGCCTTGGCAGCTGCACGGTCTACGGCATAGTGTGACAAGCAATGCGTGACTACAGGCTGCCAGGGTCCTCCAGCATGATCATGGCTGCAAAAATGGATCCTATGATGAAGGCAAAGGTTGAGCTGAAGCCCGGATATTTGTGGAGATGTCTCACGCAAACTCTAGGGCTGAGTCAGGATTATAAAGTGTTCTGGGGAATGGGGTCTATTATGTTTAGTTACTTTCTCCATCTGTTTTGCTTT